ATACATAGCTAATATTAGCACCGCCGCTCGTAGCAGCAACTAGTATCTCCCCTCGGTAATGTAGATGATAATCTGGTTTGCCAGGTACTTTCTGAGTAAGCAATCTACCATGAGAGTCGTAGTAGTACTGACACAAGATCGTCTGGTCTTTGTTGCGTACAGCTTTCAAGGTACCAGAAGTGTCATACTCCAGAGTCTGGCCTTGTTCATCCTGGGTCAAACATCCATTGTCATCATACTCAAGCTTAACCTGTGGCTTCTCATCGGGGTGCGTGTTTGAAATAAGAATTAGTTGGCAGGGGTCGTTATCAGAGTATGTGTAGCGAGCAATGTTCTGACTGTGATCTTGGAAGTGGGTAGTGACCTGCTTCAGACCACCAACTTCTGCGAATGTGTACTCCTGATGGAGCACTTTACGTCCATGTTCATCAATTGGAAGCTCGGTTCCTTGAACTTCATAGTCAAACAATCGGCCCATATTGTCATACTGGAAGTTTTCTTGTCGGATCGTGTTTCCACTATCGTCTTTCAATTCACGGATTTGGACTCTATTTTCCGTATCATATTTCACCTGGCTTAAGACATAAAGCACAGTCGGGCCTTGGAAGACTGTACGCGTGGTCTCACGCCCAAAATCATCGTAATCCAAGACTGTCATTAGACTCGTATCCTTCTTGTTATCGTGTACGATACTTTGTGCAAGGCGGTTCGCATCGCCGTATTTGAGTGTGACTGTTATTGGTCCTTGTGAGAGCTGTTCAAGTCTTCCATAATCATCATAATTTAGTACTTGGTCTTGGCCGTGAACATCGGTATAGTTTTGGAGTTTACCATTCATGGAGTAAGAATATTTAGCCGAAAGCTGCGTCTCCAATCCTTGACCAATAGTTATGCTTTCGGACTTTAACAAGCCCGATGGCAGATAATCCAACTCCTCTGTACAGTATGGATTTGTGCTTTCCCGTACTTCAGCTGTTTTTGGGTCGTACTGATAACTGCACGGATCATCACTGGTTAACATATCCTTCAGAGCATAGTTCAAAGCTTTCTCATAGTCCAAATGAATTTTGTCGTTCTTAGGAGTCGTGATATCGCTAGGCTGAGGCGAGCTACCTTCATAGGATAGGAAAGTTTGACGATTAGCTATTTGCCGACTTTTTACACGGCTTAGCCCGTCGAAAGACTGTTGGCCTAGAAAGATACCTGATACCTGGATAGATTCAGGGAGAGGATCAGTAGTATGAGCTGCGTACTGGGTATTTCCGAAACGATTATCCTGCCAGGTTGTATGGCTCACACGATTAAAGCAATCGTAGGTGTACTTCCTGGTATTGTGAAGACTGTCTTTCTCTTCAATTGTTCTCCCTAGACCATCATTGGTGTAGGTAACATTGCTATACATGCTACCATTTCTATTAAAAAGTGCTCTCTGGATAAGATAATCTTGAGACTCGAAGGAGGCCTTCTTTTGTCCTTGGGCCTTGATTCCCTCCGTGTAAGTCTGCTCAATTGGATCTGTCACTGCCAAAGTAATAACGCCGTTACTATCAGTCACCTTGCACACATATCCCCATTCATCATATTCATATTCATGACTGGCGGACTGTTTCTTGGGCCCGTCCGACGCCCTTAACCAGTCGATATCCGTCATTCTAATGCATTGTCCAAGTGCGTTGTAACTTCTCTCCTGTACAGTGCGGAAGGTTCCTGTGTAGGCATCAAGCTTCCATTCTCCGTCATCGTCTTGCCTCTCTACTTGGCAAACTCTCTGCAAACCGTCGGTGGTAGATCGGGTCTTCACTCCCTTGGCATCAGTTACAGTGAGACTGCAACCTGCTGTATCACCCAAAAAGGCATATTCATGAATCTCTGTTGCTTCATATACAGTGCCTGGAGAAGTTGTAGTATTGATTTGTCGACCAATCTGATCGTATGTAAATTGAGTCTCAATGCCGGCTTCATCTACATGGCTCATAATTCGTCCTTCAGCCATAGAAAAATTTGTTTTGCTTTTCACTTGGAAATTATCGAAGCTCTGAAGCTGCGTTGTCTCACTAAATCGATTGGCTTCGTACTGGTAGGTCCAGGATTGCACCATAGGACTTTTATCATACAACATTGACGTCTGCTGCTTATAACGGCCATGATCTCTTTCGTCTACCTGGCTAACATATGTCCTGTTGATACTGCAGTTACATGGGCCGTTATCCGCGAAAGATTGAGACTGTTGGAGTAGAACAAAGGAGGGGTTTGGCGCACCCTGAGCTGTAGGAAGCTCTCTATAGGTGTGGCGTGTAGTCCGCACAGGAGCCTGGCCAGGCTTTTTGGGAGGGGTGATAGTTTGCTCTTTTAAATAGCGTTGAAAACCATGAGGGTCAGCAGGACATTTACTCGTCTCCCCATTTGGCAGATAATAAGCACGCGTTGTCTTGACGCCATCTATCTGAGTGTCCGAAGTAGGGTTGCCCCATTCGTCAAACTCATGAGAAGTTATCTCATCCCGAAACAACAATGGGTTAGCCAAATCACAGTATGTTGTTTTAACGCTTTTTGGTAGTTGGAACTGTGGTGGCTGATGCACTAGTGCAACATTTGGTTTGACATAGTATTCAACTGTTTGCGTAATCTGCTTTCCATTTAGGTCTTGCTTAGTCTCAACGATCAAGTGAAATTTGTTGTAGGTATATTTGGTCTTTTGACCACCATCGACGGATACCGTAGCAGTGTATGTGTAGTTGTCTCTCACGCGGTAGAGATTGTCCTCGCCATATTTCCAATGATCAACGGCTCCGTACCCGAGGAAGTTGTTAGTGCCGTAGTCGTAGAGCGTTTTGATAGCAGGCTGTTGGTTTCCAGGCTTGATGATGTGCTGTCTGACAACTGGAATGGACTCATAGGGGCCTCCTGGTGGCACTTTAAACCCAGATGAATTATATGTGACCTCTTCCACCAAACCCAATGGACTGCGGATGTTGGACAGACAAATGAGCGGCCCATAAGCAATGTAAGCAAACTTCCATTTTACACCATCTGTCAAAGGCAGCCAAAACTCCTGTAGCTGACCTCCTCTGATTACTGCAGTGAAGGTAGAGGGGCTTGCAGCCCCTGGAGAATGAACAATCTCCACGTGCGGATCTCGATAGTTGATCTGTAGCAAAATCTCGTCGCCATCTTGTACTTTGTTCAGTCTTGGTTGGCCATTAATTGGAATCCAGACAAGAGTCAATGCGCGCCCATTGGCTGCGTAAATTTTGACTGGGACATTCGTGTTATAGACATTGTGAGCGTTGGAAAGAAGTTCAATTTTTCCATCCTTGTGGATAATCTCGAAATCGGAACCTTTCTGCTGAAACTTGAAGCTTTTCAGCTTTTGGTCCTCGACAAGTAGACCTCCACTGTTGGAGACCTGGTAGTGTTCTCCAGTAGAGAGTATAAGGCTACGTGGTGCAATGTGCTGGTACTGAGAAAGATTCAATGACCAACCCTTGCCGAAGCCAATGTTTGCAGTGTTCAAGGGGCTAAACCGAAGAGATAGCTTGAATGGTGCACAATTACGGGCTTTGGCCGGGGCCTCATACAAGGCGATGGAGGAGGTATATTGTCCGGTTCGAGCATCAACACCTTCTTGGACAAAGCTTCCAAAGTTGACTCCCTGTGAGTACAGTGTGTTTTCGCTGCTTGGCATTGTTTACCGCTTTTCTATACTCGAGGTTTGGAAAAGTGTGTGTTTCAATATCGATTTTAGTAGAGCAATTTTTCCATTCTTGAGGTAGACTTTAAAGTAATGCTGGGGTGTGACTTTAATTCTTAATAGTTAATTCAGCTGAAGATAATGCACACGTTGAGAAGAGCGACATCTCAATTTACCTCATTCGAACTTCACGACATCACGGACACATAGCACAGCTATACACAATCAGTGGCATTGGCATCCTGGTGAGATGACATTTCGTTATTTTCAACTCTCCCATTGGCAACGATAAAGCCTCCAACCACCCTAATATTTTTACTGGCTTAAAGATCAATGCGAGACCAGTCTAATACTACAGTTTTAGCTGCAAAAGTTTTTAGTACGCCTCAAAGTGTATGGAAACTATTTTGTGGAGCATGAATTCGAGCAGGCAGTACCAAGACTTTCCTCACTTATATCAAGTTAACTAAACGGCTTGTCTTTTTAAAGCTTTCAATCACCTTACGAGTATGTTTCATATCGGCGGCGCCATTTGCGCCTTCCGACGCCTCTAAAAGTTACACCTCTACTTTAAAGTCATCCATTTAGCGTCAGTCAGCCGCTAGATCTGTATTTTAACATTTAGCTAGATCCCTGACGCCGCATCGCAGTTTAAAAAATAAAGCTTCAAATGCATCAAATATCGAGATATCGTGCAGATCACTGAGGAGTGGCTGGCTGACAGTATTAAAGTTTTCGTTAGCTCGCTTACACTACAGAACATTACCTGAACTACCAGCTCTTTTACGTCCATAAAATGCCATGCATTTAACTTTTTCTGGGATGGTTTTGCATCTGGTTCCTCCAAAATTTCGTATTTATGCGGAGTGCTACGGAGATTTCCATCCCCAACGCAAGGGCCTAGTCAATCTGTGCATTTTAGAAATCAAGTAATACAAAATTTGCCATTTGTCGGGTGCTTGTGTAGTGTATCACTTCACATGGTGGAGCAGAAAGATGATCAATTTTCTGATTCTATCGGTAGACCAGTGATGCTACACCGGCATATGTAGCTAGTAGATATTGCATCAATATCTCCATACTTCGTTACATCCCGCTACACCATGACATAGTTACCAACCTACAAATGACTGTATCTTCCATCAAATCTTGCCCCATCACACATATATACTTGAACCAGATCCTTCTTTGGAATTGAAGCAAAATTCTTTCAAGACAAAAACCTACCAGTAACTTTCCCTTTACTTGCAAGCTGAGAGAAGTAGAAATCACTGACTCCTACAGCTCAGTACAAAACCCACATTATACCATGCATTTTTCGAGAACTTTCAGCGTTTTAGCTCTTGCCTCGACTGTCCTGGCAGGCCAATGCTACAACCATGCTGAGGGCGCCCACAAAGTAAAGTGCGTTCACAAAGACGAGTTGTCAAAATTTGCCGACGACTACTGTCATGAGAACTGGAACAAGCTTGTTGGAGACTGGATCGACTATAACGATCGAAGCGGAAACACCGCCAACATTGGCAAGGTTGCTAATTTCGATTCCAAACAAGCCTGTATTGTTGCCTTTTCTCAAGTTGTGGAAAGTTGCTACAATGGCTGGGATGGCGGTCAGTGGGTCGCTGATGGAACTTTGTTGAACATCAACTTCTGCAAGTGGTCGGCGGAGCCTAAGAGAGTTCGATATGATGCATTGAACGCTAGACCTGAGGCTCCAAGAGTTAGATATCAAGGACCAAGAGAAGCTAAGAGAGTTGCATGGGATGGACTCAGAGGCGATCATGAACATACAGCCAAGAGAGTTGGATACCAGGGACTGAGACTTCAATCTAATGATTTGTAGGGAGAATAGGTCGTACAACTTGTCTTCCTTCTTATTCTTCTATGTTCTTCGATGGAGTGATGGAAGCTGCGATGCAGAAATAGTGGCGTTTTTGTATTTTGCTTTGGTAGATTGCCCGCGATGGACTTTGAGGTAACTCCTCACCAAGCTCCATAAGAGTCTATCAGCCAGAAGGGAGCTTTATGGTCACAATAGAGGTTCAGTTGTATGCCTATTTGAGTATCAAGATTCTTGAATCGATATCATTCATTTGATTTGAACATCAGCTTTGTAAGAAGTGAATTTATATTGTTTGTGAACTTTATTCAAGTTTTTGTTGACCGTATTTATAATCACATCTGATCATCACTCTATCTTATGAAGATGGAAATCTCATGGTCCCAGAGCCCCTAGAAGCGTAGAGTATCAAAGAATCCGAAATGCAATTCCGACTATCATGTGGATGATCAAGAGACATTCAACTACTATCATTCTTAGGGACTATGGACGTGCTTTGCTACAAGAAATTCCTATTAACTTTGACCTCTTGCCTCGATAAAAATGATTCTAAAATAAAAGAAGATGGGAAAAAATCGGAATTCCATTTTCGACGAGTGTTGATCCAAGTGAAAGCGAGTATAGGCAGGAAAGGAACATTATGAGGACGGAAATTTCCATGCACTAAATGTATAATTTCGTACACATTCTTCGAGCAATAACTTGTCTTCCATTACACCAAAAATGATGTGGTGATCGACATAACGGGAGAAAAGTGCACCAAAGCACGATTTCTTAATGGGAAATACGAGACAATACCACGCACTATCATCTCCCTTCTTGGGAATACATATCTTCCCGGTACCAGCTGAAATAAAATTCAATGCAACGTTACTTCGTAGAGATCTCGATGTTTGTTTCACAACACATCATTCTCAAGCAAAGTATACTCCGCAGTAAGAGATAGTATAGAGTAGGCTACTGATTTAGTAATGTGTACCACAGTCCATCTGTAGATCGATGTCATACAAAGTAGGTTTATAATTAGCGCGATGTCCCGTCAGGCTTACCGAGTGCGGCGGAAGCTAACGATCATGTAATATTGTACGTATATCGAGAGAATTAAAACTCGCTTCCATGTGGGCAGAAAAATTGCACACCCAAAAGGTACTCCCTTTTCAAAGTTATTCACAAAATCAATTCATGAATATTTCGAATTGAAAATTGAACACAATCTTTTAGAAATAATCAATTTAATGTACATGTAAAATTTATCGTATCTGGTCCATTATTCATAATATCATACAGTATTAAAGTACAAGTGTCTTTGATAGGTTTTTGATTTTGAGTGGTTAGGCGTGTGGGTTTTCCCCATCCACATGGACTCGGTAATCTAACTTTGATCTTGGTGACATATCATGTGTGATGTGGTTGTAGGCCAACGTGAATGGCGTAGCTGATGTGAGGCAATGCGACAGGTATCGGCACTGCAAGGGGCTGTCATGTAGTTAGCTGAATCATTTTTGTGGGTTACATAGACTAACTATGCATATGCATAGATGATCACGGGTCTACAAATGGAAACGATAATCGCTCTACTGTCCTACTTGCTGCTAATAGTTTAATTTGACAGAGGTAGTTGAAATCATCGACTTGTCTTGGAGACAGAACCGGCCAGAGTGAGAGTGCCAGCAAATAACGACGTCATGGTAAATTTTACCTCCTAGAGCTTCATTTTTGCCGAAGGACTCTGTGTATAAATAGCCTTTCCTAGACCATCATATCACAACCATCAATCATCATCCAACTCTCGCATCTTCAAATCTCAACAGATATTCACACAAGCATTACATCTCCCCAACATCGAACAAAAAATCCCTCCCAACAATTTTCACCATGAAGTTCATCTATTTTGGATTCCTCCTTGCTGCCACCACCGCATACGCCTGCGGAGACAACGCCTATAGATGCAAGAATCCCGACAAATCAGTAGATGAGATGTGGCAAGTCACCCACAAGATTTGTAACAATCTTCAGGAGGACGACTGTTACTGTTCTCACTGGGCCGAATACTACTGCGACCCCTATGGTGGCAACATTGGAAAATTCAAGCAGCAATGTGAGGATGAAGGCGAGAACTGGTACTGGAGCGAATGTTAAGCAATGTAAGAAAATCTTGCCTAGGTACCTTTTTTTCCCCAAAGCTAACTTTTAATCAGTTCTCAGTTTAGGTGTCAGTGAAGAGGACGAAGGGATGGTATGAGAAGTGTTCAACAGATGGCTTTGTTAGTTCTGGACTCCACATCTGTCATTTGTTCTGCCTCGACACTATCTGAGTCTTGTTTCATCTCAGAAATTTGGTAAAGTGTTGTTTGAGAAGGTTGTGGAACCTTAGATTCCACTCTTTTGGTTCGCTTGCAAGTTCACAGCATGTATTCAGGCTCTAGGCCCTTTTTAGCTAGAACCCTAACCAAGGAATCTTATATGCTGCATACTAAATGAACACAGAAAGACTTATCTTTTCTAAATGCAACTGTGAAAATCTTACAGCGAATATCTTGGGTATGAGAAATATGTCAATCGGGGCAAGAGGTTCTCTCAGTATTGAGTTTACGTAAGGAGGCTTTTGAAGTCATAAAGAAATCGAGTATATAGACTAAACAGTTCGATATCCTTCTCTAGCATCCCAGCAAGCACTGTAATAAGCACACTCCCGAACTGCATACATAATGCAATCCCCTTGGCACTCGCTTGTATGGTCTGTCGTACAACTTCTATCTGTGTGTAATGGCACTTTAGGTATATATAACTAGTACTATAGTAATCCATAGCGATAATGGGAAAATAGAATTGAATATAATATTTGTTGGTTCGAGAAGGATACGAAAGACGTAGCACCCACGTATTGTAGGTCCTGTATGTCTAATTGTATTCTATCTAAAGAGCTAGCTATGTAGGGAAGTAGTAGGTCTTATATAGGCACTACTGAAAGAGCTAGTCTCTTTCGTATTCGCTTATTTCCCTTTGATACAGTAGTCATTATATTGAAGTCATTCCTTTGAAGTGAATACTCTTATTTATATAATTTTTGTGTAACGGATTACAAATTTGATTTACTATTTTTGTATATATCATATATATAAATGAATATCAAAGTAGATAAGAGAAAAGATAGATTATTATTAGACTATATATTAAAGAATTGAAATCGTAAATAGATTAGAGTAGAAGTAAAGCTTAATATATTATTACTCTTCTTTCCCTTTTTCTTCTTTCTTTTCTTCTTTTTTCTTTCATTCCTTCTTTCCTTTCTTTCATTCCAATACAAGATGTACTAGAATCTTAGGTATATACCTAGCTTATATAATCTATATTCTTATTTGAGTGACTAGCATTTGAGATTTGGATTTGTAGTTGATATCTACCTATCTAGTGATTATCTAGTGGCTATTTATTTACATATATAGATATCTAGAATTTATCTATTTACTTAAATAATAAAAAGATAGATATTTTATTTTTATTTCTATTCAATTCCTCTCTCTCTCTCTCTCTTCTGAAAGGAAACAAAATTTATATTTCATTAAATTTTTATTAAGAATTGATTGATCAATTTATTTAGTATTATTAGATAGATATATTTATTTATTTGAGTAATAATTATTCTTTATTATATAATTCTATCATTTTTCTAGATCTGATTTATTGTTTATATGTATATGTATATGTATATGTATAAGTATGAGTATCTATCTACCTAGTATAATTTACTTGTAGATAGGTAGTAGTACGTAATAAATGAGTAAGTGGGTGAGTAGTAAGAGTGTACGAGAGAGTGTATGGGAGAAAGTACGTGAGAGAGAGAGAGAGAGTGTGTGTGTGTGTGAGTATAAGTAATATCAGTCCTATAAATGAAAATCTATTTCTGATATTATTTAGTTTGGAGATTTAGATATGTATTCATGTTTTCTCTGAGTAGGTAGGTATGTATATATGATTACAACGGAGTAGAGAGTATACTTTGGTATGTATAATGTATACTTCTAATGTAGATATGAGATATGGAGTTGAAGATAGATGAATATATGAATAAATGGATAGATGGATAGATGAACATAATACGCAAATCTTTCCCTTCTTTTCTTACCCCCCTACTTCCTCTTCCTCTTCCTCTTCCTCTTCCTCTTCCTCTTCCTCTTCCTCTTCCTCTTCCTCTTCCTCTTCCTCTTCCTCTTCCTCTTCCTCTTTCCTTATTTTCTTTTCTACTTCATCATTTATTATTCATAACTAACACCATCTCCATCACCATCATCACACTAACCAAATATAAGTTCCCAAACCCCCGTCACCACTACATACGACCATAGACTGAGGAGAATTGGGCATCCCGTCCGCTCTGCCATACACAAGCCTCAGATCGGCAGATTAGTAGTTGGGTGGGTGACCACCAGCGAATCCCTGCTGTTGTATGTCCATGTTATTTTTGCTTGTGGTTCTTCTTTTTTGACTTACTACATAGACATAGATAGGTAGGTACTTTTACTTTTGTCGTGTGGAATCAATCGGTTCTTTGTTGTTTTTTTCTTGAGTGTAAGTTGTTGTTGGGTTGGATTGAGAGGTTGTGTCTCTTAGCTTTGATCTTTGAATTTTGGATTTTAAAGTTATAGTACTAGACTACTTATATTAGCCACTTTCTAAAATCACACCAAAAATAGTAATTTTACTATATTTCCAGTTATTACGGTGCAAGAGATAGATACTAAATTAGATAACGTGGTTTATCACCGGGTCGTTAATATCACCGAGTTATCATTTTTTTTTACATACAAAATTCGTTTGTACGTAACCATACACTTTCTTTATTTATAAATATAATTTGAAAAACTTTTCTAAAAATTATTATTTTTTAAATAAATAATACAAATTTCTAGTTGTTTATTAGAAAATCGATTTTATATAAGAATTATTATAAAAATAGTATTTTTATAATACAAATCATAACAATTTCAACTATTTTTGAAATATAATATAATTTTCTATAATTTTTGTTAGAGTAGATACTAGCAATGAATCAACTAGGTGAAATGTAGCACAAAGACTTTTCATTAATTCTTCTAAACTTATGAAAACTATACAATTTATATGTGTGTGCGGGCTCCCTTCGACACACGGTAGGCCCGAGGGCTTACTATCACATGCCTAATGAAGCCCTTTAGTTCATGACCGTGACAATTTTTGAATATCTAAATTTTTATTATTATTAAATGTCTTTTTCTTTTTAAGAAATAATGATTAATTATTAAAATATGAATATCAAGAAAAAACTAATTTTGGTGTATAATAGTATTATTGAAATTTTAATATTATAGATTTTATATACTTTTAAAGCAAATAAACTTTTAAAATCAAAAATCAAAAAAGAGAAAATAAAATCTTATTAAATATAAATTATTACTTTATCAAATCGATTTCTTTTTTTCAAAATTTTCAAAATTTTTTAGGATTTTAAGCTTTGAATTATAAATTAAATTATTCTTAATACTCTTATATTACAATATAACTCTTTTCAAAAATTATAAAGAAATTAAATCTTATAAAATAAGAATATAAATGTTATATAATTAATTCTTATTATAAAATTTAATAAGACTTTAAAAATATATTAATATAATAGTAATTGATTATTGAATAACTTCAAAAAGCTTTTAAGAATAAAAGCTTAAGAAAAAGAACTCTATTACAAATATTAATATAAAACCAATATCAAATTGATATTATTTCAATACTAAAGAATTTTTATATATATATAGCTTCAAAAAAAGGTTTTAAAGAAATCAATAAAAAGTCTTATTCTAAACCTATACCTATATTTATACTAATTATTACCTTACACTCACTCTAACATGTTTTATTTGATATATAAATTTATTAATTAGATTTAGTATTAATTGATTTTTAAATTATATATAATTTGATTTTATCTTATAATAATATTATTATTTTATATTAATATAATATGAATAATTGAGATAAAAGTAGTATATATACTAATATAGTGTATATGCTGATAAACCACGTTATAGATATATGATTACATAATACAGGAGTATAAAAAAGCTTGATTTGCTTCTACGAATCCCAGCAGCGTGGACCACTCCCTTTATCGGTGGCATCTGCAAGTTATCAATCGCTCGCCCTAGCCCAGATCCTGCGTCGGGCTTACTGAAGTTAATGGCTAGCAAGTGGATTGTAGCACCGATTGCCTCGAGCTCAGTGATTCTTGAAACAAGCTTTTCGATGTTGGCATCTCGTGGTTCGCCGTTTAGGGCAGATTGTAGGCCACGGCGTGATACTAGTAAGATGTTACGGGCACCTCGCATAGTCATCCAAGTGGCGATTTCCAAGCCCATTCCCCCCGTCCCACCGGTAATCAAGTATGTACCTTGAGGATTTAATCGTAGCACTTCCCCATCCTTCGACATATCCTGAAAGGGTTGAAGTGATGCTGTCTGCGCTACATCATTGCTGACTCTAACAATATCGAAACCACGTGCGTATCTGATAGGAAACAGTGGGAAATGGACCCGGTCCACCTCAAATAATCCGCCGAAGATCGCTGGTGTTTCCATCTTAATCACACGTGCCAGACCATGTAATGGGGCGTAACCCAAGTCTTGAATGCTATGGTCTTTGTTGATGAGTGAGAATAGTTTGTACACCTTACTTTTGTCGAGCTGGTGAAGCTGGTGCAGAGCTTTCGCAGCTGCAATTAGACTGGTGCATGACTTAGTTGCGACTTCGTAAACTTCATTCCTAGCCTTGGCGGCATACGGTATGTGAACAACGATAGTGTCAGGTATTGAGAGGGGAACTATTTCCTTGGGATCTTTGACGACTAAAGTTTCATAACCCGCATCAGCAAGCTGTTTCTTGTACGTGAACAAGGGTTCATCCGGCTGCCCATCACCAGTTAGGAAGATTACTCTTTCAAAGCTAAGCGGTTCCTCATTTAGAGACGCGGAGGACCAAGCGACCCGGTGAATCAAGTCGTTGGCTTTCATTACCGCTTGCTTCCTTTAAGTATAGTGGTCTCAGTCAGTGACCAATATAACCTGTTACCAACAATTATCAAGTTCTAGAACGAGAGGAAAGTAGGTGGAACATTGCAAGTCTTCAGACTATTATCATTCTCGTGTTCCAAAGAGCTTTATCTCTTATACTGAATATCTCGCAACATAGATCTAAACGATTTGAGATTACACCTGCTGCTTTCTAAAATCTTATCTATCGTGGCCCTGCAGCCAAGCTATTAAAGTCTGATTTGAACCTGAAATTGCTAGTCTGTAGATGCACTTGCTTCTTCATCGAGTAAGGCTAGCGACTCTTCAGCTTCTTTCTTGTCTAACACTACTCCTGCTGTATATCACCTCCCAGTTGCAGCTAGCCTCCAGTGAAGTGCTTTTCAAGGCACTAGCCATGATTACAGGTAATTCAAAAACATACTCACAACTCTCTGCAAAGCTTTCAACTTACGGAACCTCTCCTCCATTGGATGAAGCCAGATGATTTATATACATGGAGTGTGCTGGCTAATTGGTTGATTGGACTATATCCGCTTTGTGTGGCTCTCAGAGTTGAGTAGCTGTACGTGTGGAAGGTATTGCCATGTTGCCAGCTTTGATTGGCTTGAATATTGCCCGCAATACACAAGTATGCGTCATTTGAAGTATTTGGCTTCAAGCCATTTTCAAGAAAAGCCTGTCATGGCTGTCTATTACATGCAGGAACTTCACTACTTAACTAAATTGGATGGGGAAAGTGGCATGGTTACATACACAACCACCACAGAAGAAAATCTTTATACAGGGTATCATGCTTCTTTCCATTCCCCTACAATCACCCCCAGCTCATCATAAAGAAATAACGAAACTCGGGTGTAGCGGCGAGGAAGAACTGACAAGGTTCACGAGCTTCCAGCCTGCTGAGCTCGTAAAACCTGGGGGTAAAAACTCACAGCCGGTGAAAGAGATCCAGCTTAATGCAACCACGGGGTTTAAGGCAAGCAATGTCAGTGATAGACTATATAACGGGCGGAAATATATAAATGATTCTAGGGTTCTTTAGCTAGGAATGGGAGAAGCCAAAGCGGAGATGTTGCTTCCGTATGCTTGCGTTAACGTTCTAGTGTACGGGCGTTTGACCAAGGTGAGAATGACATCACGTGCACAATTTCGGCAAAGTGTCGGTCATCAAGTCGACAGCGGGACAAGTCCGTGGCTCAGTAGCTTTCAACTACCATAGATGTGCAGTTTTGAAGCAGCATCATTGACCCTATGATTGCTTTCCAATTTTTTTATCTATCCAAGCTGGCCAGTACGAACGAGGGACCGAAATAATTACTTTATTGTTACCTTTTTACCCGTATCAGTCAAGGTCCCCAATACACTTTCATCCATTCCCAACATAATTGTATCTCTCTTCCAAATATATGTATATATATCACTAGTCAAGCCTCCTGTAAGAAAAGCCTGATTTCTTCATTACGAATGTTCTCTCAAATGCTGGCACCTTCACCTATCACATTCACACTAGACCAAGCCCATTATTGAAATCGAGGAGTTCCTAGATAGATCTACTTCAGATGCAAGACGTACAATTGTCAACACCATACCACTCAACCCCATCCTCCATCCATCCAATCCAAAAATAAATCCAAATCTCAACCAACAAACCAGCTCACCAGCTCACAAAGACTTCATTTCATCCAACACACTTCAAGTATCAGAGAAAAAGACCTTGCGCGATGACAGGGAATAACGTATTCAAACCCCATTCCGTAACACACCTTCTAACACTTGTATTCTTTTCATTCCAACTCGGTATTATCCTCGTAGCCGATGTACGAACATTCAATCACCCAATCTCACAAGTCCAATCAGTCTCACAAAATCAACCAAACTTCTCAATTCATACAAGGAATCATCCTTGTGTTCATTCATATATTCCTATTCTTCTCGGGAATCACCCCTATGCATCTCATCTCATCTCATCACATCACAACTCATCTCAATCCTAGCCTACTAAAAAGATAATCTGACTTCCCAACCACAGATGTATCAATACCAATCATATCAATATCACCCTCCGCATTTACCATTTCCCCTGATATCCCCACAAACTCCTTGCAAATATGCAAATAAACAAGTCTAGTTCCTACAAAACAGTAGACCTATGAACCAACAGTCCCCTCATGGTCTACACGATCCGTTATGTACTCCGAAGAAAATGCAATCAATTCCGTTACCTATCCATTCCATCCATAAAAGTATTTATTCCTTAATACATCCATGAATCCATTCATCCATCCTGCCAGGTCAGTCCTTTCCCAATAATCCAAAGACCCCTCATACCATTCAGTTTCAGGCCTTACAATCAAAATGATGTTATGACCATTTGACATCACCACTAGGCGGTCTCGTTGTTCTCCTCCTATTCAACTTATGCTCTGGCCCACTAACCGCATTCGAAGACGTAGGTCTGATCGGCTCTCGTTCACGTTCTCTTTCTCGTGGCCTAACTCCATTCTCCCTGTTTTCCCTTCTAAGCTGCGATGGGTCGTCCCTAAGCTGCGGTGCCGCTATTGATGATCGTGATGCACGAAGGAGCGCCGTTCGAGGTAACCGGCTTTTGCTAGCTGGTGTTCCATTTGTCAAGTCACCGCTCGCTTTTCGTATGATGGATGTTGTGCCCTCTGTAGTTCTAGGTCGATAATGCACAGATTCGGTACTACTAGATGCCGTCGATGTGACACCCGAGCGCCTATAAGGTGTAACACTTCCATCAATGAATGCTGATGTTTGTGACATTCGACTAGCCTGAGTGGGCGTCAAAGGAGTCGACGCGCTATGTTGAAGAGCAGGTGCCGTAAAAGAACTTCCACGTCTAGGGGCTAACCGAGACCTTGAACCACTTCCACTTTCTGAGGCCTTGTCCAAATTGAACTTGACTAGCTCACTTGCCATATTTCTTACCAGCACAGCGCTATCATTCTCAGCGAGATGTTGTATCACTTCAAACAAGGCGTGATGCCTGATGCTTTCTGCTTCGTCACCACTAGCATCACATATGCTTCGAACAATGCGTAGCAAATTTAATCGCACAACAGCCTTTTTGTGGTTAAGTTTTTGCAGGATGCCAGTGAACAGATCAGTCCGGGTAAGAGAACCAGCGATAGGCGAACTTAATCTTAGGAGCTTTTGTAAAGGCTCTAGTAAATTGTAGTCGAAGGCATTTGCTTTGGATACAGTAAAACATTGCACTATCATTGCAGTAAAATTACCTTCTAGCAGAGCCTTTTCAACTCTGGCCGTCTCTTCTTGGAGCCTGTAAGATACGATTAGTACGCAAATTTGTTACTTACGAAATACTGAACATACCAAATGAATATAGCGTCCAAAGCGGTGACCTGCCAATATTGATCTTCTAATAATGAAACATAAAACTGTAATCCCTTATTCTGCCAGAGATATTTACGTCCAACTTTCCCCGAATGTGCCATATCACATAAAATCGGGAGCGCAAATTCCTTCGGAGGGCGTTTCGTCTTCATTATTCGTTGAAGTAATGGTATTATACCGTTGAAGGCTGCATCTTCCTGTCGCTCCTTACTCAGTCGGCATAAATTATACATAGTATTCAGAACTTGATTGGAAATCTCGCGGAAGTGATCAGGCGTGCGCTTCATACTTGAGCTTAGTAGATCGATTAGAAGTTCGATGGCGTTTGCGGCATGTAAAGATTCGAGAGTAGTTGATAACATAGACAGATTTTTAATGAACTTGAGCATAGTGATTTGATGCGCAGGTGTCATTCGTCTCAGATCTTTGAGAACCCCTGGAATGTTGTTAGAACAAACGTACCGCAAACTCACAGGAGAACCTACGTTTGAGTACTACATGATCAGCCACGACCTCCTTGACGTAGTTTTCTGCTTGAGAGAAAAGATAGAATATATTGACAATGCGACCTTCAATAAGCTCAGAAAGCTCATCATCTTCATCTAACACACGATCTAAGACGAGCGCTAATGGGGATAAGATCTTGCTTCTCGAGAAGATGCGACAGAAATCATTCTTTGGAGTTGGCCCCTGTTGGGGTATTAGTTTAGCAGCTCGAGTATCACATGTACCGACATACCTGAAGCTCAAACACATTCCAAATACCATTGACACCAATGAGCACCAAATCCCTAGCATCGTCATAGTCCTCGTCAAGAAATTCAACAAGAACGTTCAGTCCACCAGCACTGACAAACATTTGAAGTGTCAAAGTAGAAGTTTGGTACATTTGTCTTACGAAAGCAGCAGCCTCAAGACGTATCTCATTCGAGTATTGCCTAGCAGCAAATTTTGTGATGATAGGAATTCCTCCAACAAAGCAAAGATTTTCTTGAATTTCGACATCATTCGAAATGATTGCATTGACAACCTTCAATAATCTCAATATCATACTTTGACGGCTTTTCAAGGTACAAGGTTCTAGTATCTCCAAAATTGGAAGCATTCCATGAGCACTGATTATCAGGCCCTTTGCATCCTCGGACTCGTACAAAATATCAAGCTGATTCACACATTAATACAGAGATACATCATAATTAGAAAGAAACATACCAATTGTTCAGATAATTCAGACAATACATGCTCGGCTTGGGTTGCTTTCAGTGAACTCACCAATCCTTCCACCGATGCGCATAATCGAGCATGTTTATCTCTGGCAATGTTGGCTTGTAAGTCCATTTCATCGAAACCTTGCTCCAATGAGGCAAATGGGTCATCTTCATCATCCTCGTCACCAAGCCAGGAGTTGTGTGAAAATTTCGAGTTGATCATTAGTGCTTCTCCTGAGCCTTTGTCAGTCTCAATCCTAGGAACTACAGCCCCACGTGGATCAAATATGTCTGAAAAATCTTCATCGTCTTCATTTTCCGCGTATTTTTGTATCTCAACTGATGAGTTTGTACGATGTATAGATGGATTGTCATGAGAATTGGGAGTGGTTTTTCTTCGTAAGCTGCTACCCCCATTTGTAGTGGGAGATTGAGCAGAACGCGGAACGCTTGTCAGGTCAGATGGGTGGAAAAGCTTCGGAGAAAGAGCATCGTCCTAAAGTCATCCATATTAGCGATCCGCAGGGCAGCTTATTTGGGATACTGACTTTGATTATATCCAATCTTTTGTCAAAAATACTATCATTGTCAACGAATAGGTCTGAATAGTCTTCTACGGTAGTCTCGCGATACATTATTGCCGGCCTGGAAGGCAAGGCGAATTTCCCCTCAGCCCGTGCCTTGACAGGAGATCTCGGACGAGAAGGGATAGATGGCTTTCTCGAATAACTTCTAGGAGAAAGGTCTTCTTCAAAATCTATGTTAGTGGGAGCTTTGATTTTGTATGGTCGAATTGTCTCTAATTCATGGCCATCCGTCTCGACATGGGTTTTGGGACCCTTTATTGTCACAAGATCGCCCTCAAAGTTATTGTCCCAATTATCGGATTCTTCATTTGCGAACTCGAATGATGCAAAAGACTTGAGACGATCAGCGGAAAGGAGGCCTCCGAAATTGTCATGAGGCTTTAGGTGTGGAAGTTGAAGCGCACTTGGAGATATAGAAGAAGCGAAGTCATCATCCCAATTATCGTCCGCTTCAACAGTCAGTTTCCAAAAGGAATTCTGGAAATTTCCTAGTGAGACTCGCTTACCTGCAGTTTCTGGAGACCTGAAAGAACTCGCCAAACTTTTCGGTTTCGCCACGGAGAGGGGGCCCTTCGGAGGGGTGATCATATTATTGCTTTGCGATTCATTATGAATATTCCTCAAAGGAGGATCTCGACGGGCTGGTAGGGGGCTACCAAGCTGTTGCGACCTCGTAGAAGTACGAAACGTTCCGGCACTGGTGGGAGACTTTAAAGCCTCATTCCACTGTTTTACCTCTTCGACCGCTTCATTGAAATTCGTTGGGGGCTTTGCAATAGGAGCATCAGTTCTACGTGAGCCCACGATCCAAGCATGTTTCAACAATTTTCGTGCAGAAACCCTTAGATTTGGATCTTTTTGGAAACACTGGATGAGAAAATCTCGAGCTGCCTAGGAAATGTTTAGTTTTGGCTGCAAAGAAGAGATTAACATCGACTCACTGGTGAAACTCCTTCAGGCAAAGGGGGGTGATCATCATTGACAATAGCAAATAAGGCTGGCATGGGAGCCAATTTGTGATACGGAGGTTTGCCCTCAAGTAGCTCAATTACCGTGCAACCCAAACTCCAGATATCAGATGCGGGAGTTGCACCAGAAAGTTGAATGATTTCAGGGGCCATCCAGTACGGGGTTCCAACAACTTGTGCCTCCTTGTCTGCTCCAGCAAGAGTGCTAGTAGACACACCAAAATCCGCAAGCTTGACCTTTCCATCTTTTGTCGTAAGAATATTCGCGCCCTTTATGTCCCTGTGAATAACACCCTGATCGTGCAGATATTGGAGTCCTAAGAGTATTTGTCCCATGTAAACGCCAACCAGGTTTTCAGGAAATTTCCCATAACTTTTGCAAATCGAGTGTAGGGAACCATTTTCGCAATACCTTAGAATATTGTCAGTACAATGTGGTAAAGAAATAAGAACACAAGATGTCTTACTCTAGAATTATGTTCAGGCAGTCTGAAGACTTAACGAAACCAAGATATTTGACAATATTGTCGTGCTAAGAAATGTCAGCTCAAATGGCTTTGCTTCTCCCAACTCAATTGCAAACCTACATGCAGATTTTTGAGAAGGTCTATTTCGGCCTGCACATAGCATTAGTACGCAGTCCAAACTATCTCAACATTTAAATCTACCTCAATCATCCGCAATTCACTCTTGGGGAGGTCCCCCAGCTTAATCTGCTTCACAGCCACAGCTTCCCCTGTGCCCCAATTGAACGCCTTGTAGACAGAACCAAATGCTCCCTTCCCGAGACATTCTCCTAGACGCTGAACATTTATAAGTAGGTGTATTTCCTCTATTGAGAATCTCGGGTGTGTACGTAGTCTTTGAGTCCTGGATCCTGCACAGCCTTTTCCTTTCTTTCTCTCCGCGGTGTCCCTGGAGTCCTTTCTGCCTTCGCACTCCCATTCACGCCCGCCGATCTTGAATTGCTTTGCCGGTCGGCTGAGGAGGGTGGACGAGAAACCATGGTCGGTGTGCGATGACCCCGGGTGGAAGGTTTCAGAGGGTGGAGAGGAGGGCTGCTAGAGGTATATTTCTCTGGCAGATGGGAGATCTCATTGAAGCATCAGCTTTTCGTGGTTTGTGGACTAGATTCCTGTTCCTGTTTCACGACGATTATTTGGCGGGGTTATAGGACTATATTCAAGGTTGTCGATATCGGTGGATCCTGGCCCTCACTGCACGGCGAAAATAGCACGCGAGAGTGGATATAAAGAAGAAATTCACTGTTTGTATGATATTATGTTGAATTTGAATTTGATGTTTGTGTCTTGAAGATAATAAACATTCTTTATTGGTGAAGTATTGTGTATGAATGTTTGTCCAATCATTACAAAAAAAAACACGAAGCGTGGTATTATAAGTTATGGAGCATTATCAGAAAGAGAGAAATTAAAATATTGGGTAAAGGCAAGATTAAACAAAATTGGCAAACAAGCGCCTACATGGGTGGATCCTGTTGAAGTCGCAACCACTCCCTCTCTCTGGCGAGCTGCATCTAAATAAAGTATGCCGTGCCTAATAAGGCTGATAGTCGTAAATCATCGATTCGGTGATATCGTAGAGATACTACCTAGGTAGATAGATGGATAATCTTGATATGATAAGGGATCTTGCAACATCTGATTTAACAACTGTCTCTTGGAAAACGCCATTTATTGTTTGATTGTCTCATGAGGTTCCTTTTTTGATTTGGTTTCAAATTGATAGGGTCAAAAAAAAGGAATAATACCTCTTTTTATATGTGACAATTACGAGTAGGGTATATACAAAAAGGGAAGAAGGATTGAAATGATCAATCAACCACAACACCTTGACTAAATGAAATTCATCTTTCAAACTCCTTTTATACTCATGTCCACTCATTGATATCTCCATCAAAGGTTACCTGCGACGCATCTGATACCTCTATACTAATTTTCTAGAAAAACTGGAACCCTTTGTCATAAAAGTAAGCATTTCGCCAGATTCAACTCCCCCATTTTGCCTTTTCGACGTCCAATAACTCCCTTGTGTGGCTCATAATCCAATATTCCTTGATCAAATTGATCTTCATGAAGGACGAACGCCCATATCACTGCTTGTTTGATCATAACCACGAACAAACAGAAAGTGGATTTCCCTGCTTAACCCAACGCCAGTATAATAATACAATATATCATCAGATTCGTGATAAATCATTCTGCAATAGCGTGCTTGATCTCCTTAAAAAAAACTCCTGTCTGTGGAATGGTAATGAAATCTAATTATCGATAAATTTATTCATCCAAGACCAACACGGTAGATTTATCACCCCGCGAATGCTCTATGTTGTCCAATAGGTTGTTCGACATATGCAGGGCCTGAGCGATTTTGTGTATATCGACCAAAATAATCCATAGCTGCGACAAGTGCCTCATTGTCGATTTCTACATCTGATGGATTGTCGCAATCACCAATCGTAAGAGACTCATTCTCGGGCTGACTACTGACAGAGGTTCCTAGAGAAGGTCGTTGTGAGCTAGACGCAGCGGTTGAAGCAAATGAAGATGATGGGTGTGGTGATTGTGGATCTGGCGTGATCAAGATACTGTCCCATGACTCTTGATCTTCTGGATCCAAATCATGCCTTGAGTCACTACGGTCGTTGACATCGAGTTGCTCAACATTATCTATGACGTAATGGCCATCAAATTCTCTGTGACCCCTCTCTGGCTCTTGAAACTCAATGCTACGTTCTCGATCACCTAGGCCGTCATAATTGGTGTTTATCCTGAAAGTTCCTCCTTCCCCAAACTGCGGTAGCGTATTAGATTGGGTGGATTCTTGTCCGTTACTTTCAACATCGAGATAATTAGGCATTCTTTCAAATAACTCAAATCGTTGCCGTTCTCTGGGACTAGAAGCAATTGATTGATCGGCCTGCTCCATTTCACTGTGCGGCGTGTTGTTCTGCTGTTCTACACGGCTAGAGGGGGTGTACCGCCTGAATTGCACTTCATCAGCTAGAGATCTCTCTCTCGATATTCCAGGTCGCTCTACGTCAACAAGCAGTCGGTCTTCAGATGCAGGGCGAGTGGACCGGCCTATTATTTCTCTAAGACCCTGCAGTAGCCCTTCGGTTCTGGCGGGAGTGGACTCTCTATCAGCCTGCATGCGTTCTCTCGAGGCTCGAATTCGTTCCCTGATTCGCAACTGCTCTCTAAAATCGCTAATGCGTCGTGCTTCATGGCTATGGAATCGCTGTCGATATTCGACCGCGTCGCGATGACGCGAGTGGCGAAGTAGTTCTTGTCTGATGGTGGTATCAAGACCGCGTAGCCCTCCGCGCACGCGTCGCTGAATGCGCCAATCTCGCCGTCCCACTAGAGGCATCGAGAAACCTTGTGAGTACGTTTCACCGACACGTTCCGCTAATGCATTCTGCCAAGGTAATTAGCAAAGATCTCTACGGTCATACTTAGTCCACATACTGCGATGCTTGGGCACTTATTAAATTTTGGCTTACATTGCGGTTCGTATTACTGACATCAATTCGAGTGGGGGATACTGCTCTGGAGCGCTGTTCTGGAATTGGAGATGTTCGAGAGAGGATAGAGGCGAGAGGCAAGCCGTGAGCTCCAAGTATTGCAGTTCTCATCAATCGCTGATGACGTCTTACAGAATCTCGCGACTCTACATTTGAAGGGTTGGAAAAATCTCTGGATTCCGGAACAGCGGGCATTGGTGGTCCATCATCCTCGTCCTCCTCATCATCATCACAATCATCATCATTGGCATTCACAAAATCTGTGAAAGCACTCGGCCTGAATGTTATTATTGGAATTTCTGGTGATGATGAATCATTTCTCCTAGCATGTCCCATTGCATCACTAGTTGTTGTTGTGATTGAAGATCTAGTAGGAGCAGTGATGAAAACACGAGTTGGGTCAGAGCTGTAATAAAGACGATGCTGTTCAACATCATCTGTGGGCGCCCGTCTCCGTGCGCTATGCATACGCGAACGGTTGGTAGCACGAGAGGAAGGATTGCGCAGAGTATTTCGAAGAATAGGAGCATGACCTCGAATAGTAGATCGTGCGCGAGAAGTAGGGTCTTCTGTCGCGTTTGATGAGGAATCAGGCTCCGAAGGCTTGAAAAATATTCTATGGTTTTGAAATTAGTATGAATTTTGGCGCAATGCGACAGGCGAAATATGAAGGGGGGGAGGGGGGGGGTCGATGACTTACGGTAAACCCATGTTTTGAGTGATAGAGAGTGAATAGAAGGAATTAAAAATTTAATAGAAAAAGACTAAAGGTATCAATGACGGTGACTTTATCCTTCGGTGTCACAATTTTGATGGGATTTAAATTGACAATTGGCGATGTGTGTGATATGTGAAGGTTGCTCATTGAATAGAAGTGAGAGAGTGAAGAAGAAAAGAGAAGGAAGAATCTGGGGGAAGACTTGAGAGATCGATCGCGTTCCAAAAAAAAAAGCGCGCTAAATACCCAGTCAAGTACTAGGGAATTAAAATGGATCTACTTCTTAAGTTCTTACTACAAAGTACCCGATGACATCCATGATAATGGTACTTGCATACATTGGGTTACTGCGTAGTTGTTATCGATTATCGATAGCTACCTAGTACTAGGTAAAGACCAGACCAATTCCAAGGATTCCAAGCTTTTCACATTCAAAAGTTATCAATACTGGAGATCCGGTACTTGAAGCTCTCATTAGCTTGGTAGATCCATTGATATCACGATTGACTCACATCGTATATGATGCGACGACAGCAACAAAGTATGTATTCTAGAACAATAGAATGAAACGATGGCAATCATATTGACAATGTCTATTTTTACTTGAAAGAAATAGTCACCTACCTTCCTACCTAGCTTACATTATCACAAAGTCTTTTTTGAAACGCCCTTTTGAACCAATCATTTAATTCTCCATCTTCACTATGATTGAGCTTGGCTTAAATCGCATCAGTCGTCTTTTGAGGCATACTCCTCAACCTTGGAAAGCCATTCATGTTGCAGGTACCAATGGAAAAGGTTCGATATGTGCCTATTTGTCTGCCATGCTACATGCCAGTGGTGTTCGATGTGGCAGATTCACATCACCTCATTTAATTGATAGGTGGGATTGTATTACTATCGATGAACAACCAATTCGAGAATCGATTTTCCGCGAAGCTGAAGCTCTAGTGTTAAAGAGAAATCAAGCAGAGAATCTCCAAGCATCCGAATTCGAACTACTCACGGCCACGGCATTCGAAGTATTTTATAAAGAGAAAGTAGAGATGGGAGTCATCGAAGTTGGTTTGGGGGGACGATTAGATGCAACAAACACTATGGTGAATAAAGCGGTCACCATAATCTCCAAGATTGGTCTAGACCATCAATCATTCCTAGGAAACACAATCGAAGAAATAGCTCGAGAAAAAGCTGGAATCATGAGACCTGGTGTTCCATGTGTTTTGGATAGGAGCAATATATCTTCGGTGCGGGATGTCGTCTCAAATTATGCCAAAGAAATTAGAACAGATGTGGTTATCAGTTCTACTGAATCGGCATTTTTGGATGAAATCAAAGGACAAGATCTCGAACCACATCAATTGGAAAATCTAGCTTGCGCATATACAGCATTTCATCTCGCATATACTAAATTGGAATCTCCTCTGCATCGATTATTGCCAGCCATACAAAATATACATTGGCCCGGTAGGCTTCAAACTACTGATGTTAGAGCTGTGACAGGTCGAAAAGAACCTATACTACTCGATGGCGCACACAACGTTCAATCCGCAGAAGTTCTTGGTTCATATGTCAATGGAAAGCTTCGGGCAAAATCAAACAAAGTAACCTGGGTATTAGCTGCATCTCAAGGCAAAGAGCTCGATGGAATTATGAAAGAGATTTTAAGAGAAGGTGACTGTGTAGCAGCAGTTCAGTTTGGACCCGTGGATGGAATGCCATGGGTTCAAGCTATGGATACAGAAGATATATTACATGCAGCTTCTACAGCAGGTGTTTCTACCACTTGCCTTCATGATTCAGCAGCCGATATTTCTGGAGCACTAAGATGGGCAGCCACTGTTGCTCAAGGTGGTCCTATCGTTGTGGCAGGTAGTCTTTATTTAGTTTCAGATGTACTACGACTGCTCAGGGATGCCGAGATGGTAAAAAGTTCATTGCTAGATTAGACCAGCTAAGCTTTCAATATGAATGATTCATAATCCGCGGTTTGCGGACGGGGTTTCAGTCATTCTTTACCTTTTCACGTCACCAACTATCTACTTCCAAGCAACATCATTCGTACTAACAATAATCTCGTCAACCTCCATCCTTCTTTTAACAATCTCCTCCCCATTAACCAAATCATTCTCCACGACCCTCTTCTCCGCATTTCCTTCATTCTCTGCAATTCCCGCCTTTACATGTCTCGGAATTAACCTCTTCTTCGCAACCTCAAAATCCACATCCACAAACCAAAGCTGATCCATCAATTTCGCAGCGCTCTTCCACGGTTCCTTATTCAACGATAAATAATTGCCCTCAAAAACTAATATCCGAGTCGTGGGTTCAATTGGTATATCGTCGGCCTTAGGGTCCTTGAGCGCATGATCGAATGATGGAGCGTGGATTGTGATGGTAGATGGAGTAAGTGGTTCGCGAAGACGCTGAATAAGAGAGAAGAATGCGGGGCCGTCGAATGTAAATTCTGCACCTCGGCGTGCGTGTGCATGTGCTGGGTCGGGCATGGCTGATAGTTGGGCGCGGGTTAAATGGTAGCCGTCCATAGGGATGAACCCGGCGATTGGGGGAAGGGAAGTTTTGTTTGAGTGGGCGTCTTGGAGAGCATTGAGACGTTTAGTAATAGTCGCTGCGAGGGTGGTTTTGCCTAAGGACAATTTTAGTTAGAGATTGAGGAATAGGAATATGGGGGAAGAGGGTAACGCGGAGGTGCAAATACCTGAACCTGGAATCCCAGAAATTGCGATGAGATATCTACTATTAGGAGGTGTTTGTTGGAAACTTTCTAAACGGAATCATTAGCTCCTATATCATCCAATATTAACATAGAAGAGGAATTACATACCCCAAACCTTCTCCGTCAATCTCGTTACTTGATCTTCCATTTTAAGGGTGTTAGGTCTTTCAAACTCTCGGGATAATATAAAATCAACAATTCACACACACAAGTCAAACAACTCTCGAGATAAGATGACAAGTGAGTGAAATTTGAAGAACAACTAAAGTAGATTGAGCACCAAGGCTAGAAAATATGAGTAATTATGGAATGTCCATGGAATTACTACGGCTAGGTATGAAAATGTGGTGAAACAATTATTCTCATCTAATGTGATGTGATGTGACGACGATCGATGCTACTTCCACGAGTTGGACCCCTCATATGCCCCGCTTCCCTTTCTGGTTGCTGATGACAATCAAGACAAGTTGGAATTCTTATCGATAAGGAAATGTGATTTTTATTTTTACCTCTAGCCTTACCAACCTTCTGCCTCCTTCGTACTGTATTATTATCGAGTTCCCTTTCACACACAACGTGCTACTTCACTATTCGGAGTAGAACACAGTCAAGCTACACCTAAAAATTGACATCTCAGACAGTACAATACCCATTTCGCCTCATCCTTAATCCCTCGATCCCAAAATGTCAGACTCCACCGAAGAAAACCCCCTCTTCGCAATCGAGTACGACTCATCCGATGAATCTACCCCCGACACAACAGAAAAAGTCCCTCGAGATTTCCAATCCGAGGAGAATTTTCAAGCTGTAAAACGTGAATGGAAAGCTAGGAGCGAATCTGGCGAGGTATGGGTGCTCTTTCTTTCCCTTTCTATGTCTTGCATGCCATTCCCCTTCTATTCGCACAGTTCCCCTCTTACCTCTTTTTCTTGGTATACATACACCAAGTGCAAAACTGAAGATAGAAAAATAACTAATAATCCAAAAAGATCCATAAAACACTACCTCTTCTCCCTCTAAATCCACGCAGTAAACCACAAACTGCTCAATTCCTTTACGCGATTGAAGAATTGTATTTTTATAGAAGATTTGAAGAAGCGAGGAAGTTATCAGAGAGGATCTTGGAACAAGACGATTTAATGGAGGATTTTAGGGCGGTGGTGGAGAAATATGAGAGGAGGTGTGGGGAGAGGTTAAGGGCTGGGAGGGAGAAGGGGGAGGAAGAGAAGTGAGAGATGAATTGTCGAAATTGAGATGGCAGTTCTTGTTTGATATTTGGCGGAGTTTTGAAGTATTCTGATAGTTGGATTTGATGCTATACGGAAAGACTCTCGGTACTCCAAAGGGATTTTATGGGAATCACAGAGTGAGAATGAGTGGCTGACGAGGAAGCAAAAGAGCTTGTTCGTGCGCGCCTACTGAAAAACTAGGTCCAGCTGGAGGAAGATTCGCCCTTCTCATTTTTGCCGGTGTTAAGATGGGCTGAGAAGAGAATAAGCGAGCTTGTGTTGAGGCAGAGGGAGGGGTTCCTTCTGCTTTCACGCCTGCAATCACTCACTCGGTGGGGTACTCTCAACGGCACTCGTGTCATTTTGTGATGTTCCTGGGGTGGTTCCATGGTAGGAGGTAGTGAAATGTCGATGGGAGATTGGGAATGTTAAGGAATGCCGAGAGATGAATATAAGAGAATTGGGAGGCCTGACACGGGGTATAAAGAACCTGTAATCTTGGATAGTTCGACAAATCCCCATTTCAGGATTTCTGAAAGACAAAGTAAGAAGAGGAAGTCAATGAAGAAGGGGTGGGAATTCCCTCCTAAAATTTCCCAAGTTGTCTTCTCTTGTGCTCGGAGTTCCAAATTCTTGACCAAAACACGATTCACAAATTTAGAGAGAGTTCCTTCAAGACTGGAAATCTCTTTTATAGATGGAATTAACCAATAGTTTCATCATATCTGGCAACGATTATTTAGCGGGAAATGCCCACTCCAATCTCCCTTTTCCAATGTCCACTCCGAAATCGATCCCGCGCCTACAAGCACGTATCATGATCTCGATTTCCTTCAAGTTGACAATACGCGAGGAAGAAAGTGATCTATCTATGGATCTGTTGACGCTCTTAACGCATGCAAGTCTTGACACGATGGTGAAGCTTGCGATTCTTAAAGATGAAAAGATAACCTATCGAGAACTTGAAAACGAGGAGGGTGGATGGTTTAGATGAAAGCGTTGAGTATATAGGAGGGTCAAGAGTAGGGGTATACGATTCAGACACAGGTGATGATAGAAGAATCATAGTATATAATTTATTCTAGATCATACCCTAACACCAAAAAAGACATTCCGTTTGAGAAAACCAAACTCCTCTCTACTTCCTGTCAAAATCTCTTCTCCACATGCATCTCTCCTCCTAGACTCAAGCTCGCAGTCTCAACCTCAGAAAGAGGATGACGTTGATGGAAATAATTTCAATATCGCTCGATATCAACTTCGACTTTGAATTCGTTTGAGTACTACTCATTACATAGTACATAAGTAATCAACCATTGCTCCCATACGCTTCTTAGGCATGGTATGCACAAGGGTCGGTATCAATGTGTATGTGTATATGTGTATGTGTATATGTGTATGTGTATATGTGTATGTGTATATGTGTATGTGTGTGTGTATATCCATATATACATACCTAGTATTCCCGAACCCCCATATAAAATCGATATCTCTGGATCTTTGTGTAGGATTACATGTATATATGTGTGTACTCGTGTACTAGGTATATATCTCTAGGTAGATAAGTAGGTAGGTAGGTAGGTAGGTAGATATCAAATGAAGTTGAATCGAATCACATCACACCGCATCAAATCAAGCCGAATCACATCAAATTAACACTATATTAAATTCCCACCACCCTTCTTTCTCACTCTTGTCATCCAGCACTAAACTTAAATTTAAAACTGGAATCAAATAATCAACCCTACAAGGTACCTCTACCTAGTACCTACCTCTCTTTCCCCCCTCCCCCTCACCTCAAAGCCCCAAGATTACCTAGTCCCGGACTTTCAGTACCTAGATATTCACTACACTATATCTATTTACCTACCTCCCTTGTATGTGTATTTGTATTTGTATTTGTATTTGTATTTGTATTTGTATTTGTATTTGTATTTGTATTTGTATTTGTATTTGTATTTGTATTCACATCTCTCGATATCATGATCATACCTACCTACCTATCTACCTAGGTACCTAATACTCAATCGATCCATCGTTAACCTTTTTAAACTCGTACCTTATGAGGGATACTCACTCTCTATATTTTCTGTATTTCTCAAGTAGGTAAGGAAGTGATCAAGTGAGTGGACTAGTCGATGCAGAACTATGCACGAGGTAGTCCCAAAAATTCTCAGACGAGGAAGAAGAAGAAGGGAGAGAGAGGAGTCACACACTTGATCACGACATCTACCATGTGTCTGCTAGTTACTCAGTCACTCACTCATATGGAACAACTTAAAATAAAATAAAGTCTAATGGTTCTTTTGCTCTCCAAGTCCCTCACTGACTCGCTCATTCTATTTACATCCCTCCCTATTCAGCCTCATCTATAAACCCACCCACTCATCTATCCATCTATTTTTATCTCCTCTTTCAAAGAAGAAAAGAGGCACTGGAAAAAAGGAAAAAAGGAAAAAAAAAGGGGTATCTGTATCGTAACAATAACCCACATCAGCGTTGAGGATGAAAAACTTCTTTGAATGTCATAATTTTTTCAAAGACAACAAAAGACAATCGTCTTTGTGAAGCAAACCTCAGGCTAACCCAATCCCATTTATCCTTTTCTTAACGCCGCGCTTAAAATAGAATTCGCAACCGAGTACTTTCCTTCTAGAACTCCGAAAGTGGACTTTTTTGTATACCGGGACCTGTAATGAAAAATCCCCAAACTCCCAAGATGATGTAAAATTCGTAAATGGCGAAGTGAAGCGAAGAGAGAGTTGAAGTGGAGTGGAGAGGATAAAAAGAGTAAAGGAGAAATCGTTTGTGTCGTGATGTAATGAGATTCAAATAATATGAATCTCATCATGTACATCTCGGACCGAACCGGAATATCTTCATGCAAACCCCTCTCCAAAACTCCCTTCCAATTTCGAACTTTATGCAGTAACAGTGGTCGCTTGTTGCTGTCTCATTTTCTCCTCACTGAAAACCCTCCTGCTCATTGCCAAAACTGCTTCGAATCCCTCCTTTCCTTTACGTGCATTTTCCGAAAAAGCCGTGACTGTCGCATCCTCAACTGCATTCTTCACTTTTTGCCATCCACCACATAATGCAGTAATCTGTGCCGTTTGTACAAATTGGGTTGTGTTTGCCGATAAAGGTTGATAGACAACGGTTTCTTGCACATTGATGATATTGGAGAATGTAAGATTGGTAGAGGTCATTGTGACTTTTTTGGAAACAGGATCGACGTATGAGGTTTCGAAGACGTGGGATGTATCTTTACCGCCCATGAGAGATTGAAGCCATTTTGGAGCCGATTGTTGGCAAGTAATTAAACGTTCGGTTCGTAACTGTATTTGATTAGTATTTGTGTGTTGTGTATCGTGTGTGGAAAGATGGAATAGGGAGAAGATGAAGAATAGGAAGAAGGGAAAGAACATACAATTCCAGTTTCAGCATCAACATGTCGTGATAATGTATCGACGGCGATAACGTGAGTAGATTTATGATTCCATGGACAATACTTTCTCCAGTTTGCGGTTGAAACTTCTTCCCATGAGTAATCGAATTTGCAATCGCTAGAAAAGACCTTCATTTTGATCGTGTGCCTTTGGTCGTGTGCTTGCTTGCTTGTTGGAGATTTGGACCCTTCTTTTTTTTAATCTTAGAACGACTAAGAAGTTATCGTAGGGATGATATTTTTAATAAGGATCGATGAGTAATTGTCGATTGTGAATGGAGGAACGACTTGATTGATGATTGATGATTGATGATTGAATGAATTCTGATTGATTGTATTTATTTAATCAATCTATAGAATCGCGAAAAATAAATGTATGAATGATATGTATGATATGTATCATTCGTCGTAGTAATCAAGAAGGAGGAAGAGTCAAGTAGTTATAAAGATATTATACTCGTAGGAAATATCGAATTTGTTAGTCAGATAGGATTTTCAAGATAAAGGGTCGGATTGAATTCGGATTTTGTCTGGGCTTTTTTGCTTGTGAAAATCAAAATTTTCGCCATCGGTGTTTCGCTTAATTTCTATCCGATCATGTTGATTTGATGATTTGATGTCTCAAGGATCTCAAGGATTTCAAGGATCTCAAGGATCTCAAGGATGGGAGAAGATGAACCTTGATTGGACTTCTCTTCTCCATATTGTTGATCTTGAGAAGAAGAGAAGATCTACCACATTTCGTCCCTTTTGAACCTTGGTTATCGTTTCTCTGATTCCCGGACGAATGGGCTCTCTCCATTCCTAATACGAGATATGATAGAAAGTTGTAGAATTACCAGGCACGCCAGGTATTACTGATCGAGGGATTTATATGGTTTATCACGAATTTAGATTGGTGATTGAATGGATTGTCTACATCATTTGGATCATCAATATCATCATGATTCAAGGACTGTTCAAGGGCCTATCCTATACTGGCTGACTGGTAAGTTGTAACCAACAAATGATATTGGAATTGGAATTGAAGGGATCCGAGTTTACCTACCACGTCCTACCTATCCTAAATTCATGGGTCCGGGTAATCATGTAATGGCAAATATCATATTATTCATTGTACCGAATAAGCAGTCTCGAGACCAGTCAGTCCAGTCAATCCAGTCAATCCAGTCAATCCAATCCAGCAAGTACATCCATCGTACAATGTATATCTCTTTCCCTCGGGCCACGATATTAGCCTTGCACCTTGGACCTTGGACCTGAGACTTCAAGTGACTCTTTGGCCAACCAACTAAAGTAAACCAGAGAACAACTCGGGATATTATCCGAGGACTTTTGCATGTAGGTAAGCTCAAGGTAAAGTGATTCGATGTAGAGTAGATGGTTGATAATACAGTACCTACAGTACAGAGTAGAAGAAATCAACCATAAAAGACTTTACCCGATGAGAACTCTCGACTCTAGCTTGGCTATCATTCACACTCCAAACCCTGAAGCTTGTCATGTGTACTATACTATGTACAGACAGTAGTACCTAGTTGATGTGCGGGGCTCCCGTTACGCTTCCTCTTAGATGGTCTTTGTAACTTTGTTGGAGGTTAGTTTTGAGGGATTTGATGGACTACGAAGTACTTGGTCGTCTTGGAAGGTGTGGTGCGAGGGTATCTTACCATATGATCCATATACAATATCACAATATTTGCTTGGACTCTCCGGCACGTTTATAGGATTTCCCACGAAAGTAAGTGTCTGTTCGGGCGCGTCTCGAGATGTAAGATATAAATCAAGTAATAATATCAAGTAACGGTGAACGACATGACAATGTTCTGATTCTGATTAGGTATATTAACCAAAGCTAGGTAGGTATGTAGGTAGGTAGGTAGGTAAGCACGTGCTAACACTTCTCACATACCTAGTCACGTCCATCTAGTATACATCCCTAGTAGTTGCACGTAATATATAGACAGTTTACAAGCGCCGCAACAATAGGTAAATTGTATCTTATGGTCCTCTCCTCTCCCTCTCTCTCACACACACACATATTCTCTCTCCCTCCCTCTCACAAACATCCATCCCATGCTATGCTACATACAAGACTACATACACACAACCAATCAATATCTCATCTCCTCCACAATTCCTCATCCATCTGATTCCTATTCCTGTACCATACATAGCTCCCCTTCCCTTCCCTTTCCCTTCCCTTCCCTTCCCCGACTTTGCCAATTCATGTTTTGCATGCACTGCACAAACCAACCCAATCCACCCAATCCACCAATCAGTCCAGACTTCCATTTTGTGAATCCCCATTCAATGGCCCTTGATAGGTTAAAACGTGATACTCATCTCATATTTCCTCAAATCCTCTAACCTGTCCAGAAGATAGAACATAGACATATGTCAACATGTCCAATACCTACCTAGTAGATACAGTAGATACAGTAGATACATATAACAACAGACAAAGTCCTCTCCCAATAAAGTAAATATCACATAGGTACATTCAAAAAAATAAATAAAAATAAAAATAAAAATAAAAAACACAGTCTCAGACAACAGATCATAGAACTACCACCTACTTACTATATACCAAAACGCGTGAATTGCTGTACACCCCAAAAGACGAAACTATCTATCATTCCCCCTAAACGTAACCTACCTACCCTACCTTGTTTGTTTTTTGCACGGTACAGGAAGTAACCAGAGCCCCCGTGGCTGGAGAGAATGGATGGGGAGTGAGGAGATTATTGATTGAGTGATTGCTCAGCTTATAATTAACTACATAACATAACATAACATCTTCCTTTTGATCTTTTCTCTCTTCACTCTTTCCTATCCATCTCTCCTTTTTCTTACTTCAAAAGTATCATACATATCATATCACCTTTCTATTCTTATCATTACCTACTCAATTATAAAGTGAATTGTATTTCATCGAACCACTTCCTCATCCATCCATCTCAGATAAGATCTCCCTCTTTATCGCAAACCAACAATCGCGACAATCAACCTCGTCAATAATAACAACAACAACAACAACAACAACAACAACAACCTTCAATTTTCAATATCTTCAAACACAATACACAATTATGCCTGTTACCTTAAGAAAACGTCCCGCTCCAGCTGAGCCACCAGCTCCAGCTCCTGCTGCGAAAAAGAAGTCAGCTGTCGCAAAATCCGTCGCAAAAGTTAAAGAAACCGTCAAGAAAGCTGCTGAACCAAAGGCTACCAAAGCTACCAAAGCTGCTCCTGTATCAAAGACAAATGGATCTAAAGCAAAGACTGAAACTAAAGTCGAAGCTCCAGCTCCCTTGCCTCAAGTTAAAGCTTCTAAAGCTTCAGCTGCCACTCCAGCTCCAGCTCCAGCTCCAGCTGCATCAACAAAAGCTGTAGTTGGTGAAACCATCGATCTTAAAGGATTCGGTGGAGAGATTGAAACGAATGAAGGTGAAAAGACTACACTTGAGAAACTTGTTTCCGAGAGTAAGAATGGTGTTGTTATTTTTACTTATCCTAAAGCTTCTACTCCAGGATGTAAGTATCCTACTCCTTCAATGTGCATCCATCTATCCATCCATCTCAACCCCATTTCCCATCTGCTCAACTCAATCTTTATACAATCACTAATTTCCTCAAGGCACAACCCAAGTCTGCGCTTTCCGCGACTCTCATCCTACCCTCCTCTTAACCGGCTACACCGTCTATGGTCTTTCAAAAGATTCTCCCAAGTCCAACACCACCTTTAAAACCAATCAAAAACTTCCTTATACACTTCTTTGCGACACAAAGTCTTCACTCATCTCTGCAATTGGCTTGAAAAATGCAAAGGGTACCACTAGAGGTGTGTTTGTCATTGACAAATCTGGAAAGGTGTTGGCTGCACAGGCTGGAAGTCCTAAGGGTACACTTGAGGTTGTAGAAGGATTGATTGGTGTTGAGAAAGAAGAAGTTGAGAAGGAAGAAGCTGCAATCGAAGGAGAAAAAGAAACTGAAAAGGAAAATGAGAATGAAACTGCAGAAGATGCAAAAGAGGAAGTTTCGCCAACCTCAGAGGAAAAACAACCCGAGGAACCAATAATCCCAGAAACAAATGGTACCAACGGGATCAACTCATCTGCATCAAAGGAAGATGTAGCCAAAGCAGAAGTTGCAGCCGATGTAGCCGATACAGCTGAAAAACTTGACGGCAAAGATTCCGAAGTTAAAGCTGCTGAGACTTCAACAGCTTGAGTAGAGAGGTCTTTATTTGAGTTTGATTTTCAGGATGAATGCGTGGTTGATGAATTCATTCATCTGCATTGCTACTACTTGCATTAACTCCTGTTCATTCACTGCATGCCTGCATGTATGCATACATTTTCTTCTCATTTGATCTTCGGATTCTGATTTTGATTTTTGATGGGCATCAAAGGAAAGCGAGGTATGGCAATGAATGGATGGATTGCCAAAAAGCATGGAATCGTTTTGATTTGATTCAGTTGATCTATCTTATTTGCTTGTTGAATTGGATTTTAAGGATACTTATTCCAATACATATTCATAGCTCCTTCCACTTTCAATTCCTACATACTCTTTTCAAAAACTTAGCCAACGGAAGGAAAGAAGTAGGAAAGGGAAAGATACTCATGTTCCTCTTTTGATTCTATTCAATTCGATTCAAATTTTCTTATGGTATGTATGGGCAGGTGCTATGGAGTGAGTTTGGGGTTTTCCTCTCTTTCATTTTTGTTATGGGGAATGCGGGATAGGGTGCAAATAAGACAGACATTAAATACAATACAATATGATATGATATGGAGGATACTGGATATGAAAGATGGGTATGGTTTTATAAAATCGGATTGCATAGGATAGTATGGCTTCGGATATGATATGATATCTGAATTCTAGGTTCTATTCTATTCTATTTTATTCAATTTACTTTTATGGATAGGGTTTATGTGTGTGTGTGTGTGTGTATCTGATGGTGATTTGGTGATTTTGATATCTGAATAGATACTAGTAAGCGAATAATGGATGATGAATGAATGGTAAACATCTTGGCTGGATATGTTTCATCTATGTGTTTGTTCATTTATTTATGTATATATACATCATATTATACTATATTATACTCTACTATTTATACTAACGTAGTTTAACACCGAGTGGGCTATATCACCAAGTGGGCCATCATTTTTACATACAAAATTCGTTTGTATATAATCATACACTTTCTTTATTTATAAATAGAATTTTCTAAAAATTGAAATTAAAAAATTTAATTATATAAAGAATATAAGAATCTAATTATTTATTGAAAATTCAAATTGTTATAATAATTATTGTAAAATATTTCTTTTATAATGAAAATTGTAACTATTTCTACTTTTTTTAGAATATAAAAGAAATTTTTATATCAAAACTAGATTTATAAAGAGCTAAATTTTCATTATTATTTCATATTAATTTTCTTTCAAAAAATAATGATGGATTATTAAAATACAAATATTAAAAAAGCATTGATTTTGGTGTATTTTGAAGTGGCCTATTCGATAATATAGCTCATTCGGTGTT